TGTTGAAACAATTATGTTAGTAAGCTAGTAACTGTATACTGTTCCTAACTGTTATGCAAATTTCCATTTCTGATACGTATTTTTTGGGTTACTATCCAGAAAATGCAATTTTCCTTTTGAGACATGACACAGAAACAACACAAGAAGAACAAACAGTAGCAGAGAACCTGCCCAGCTTTATTCAGAGCCAACTTCCTCTCCCTTCTGTATCTGAACTAGATTCTTCCTCCTTTTCTTTTTCCTCCTTTTCACTTCTCTTTCTTTTTAAAGAAGGCTGGAATTGTTCTGGGATGTGCTTTCTCTTCAGAAACTCAAAATTCAATTCAAAATCAATGTTCCATCATTTAGTCCCTAAAAGCTCATTTTAATTTTGGTTTGAGTCTTTCAGGCCTTCCATGAAACTCCAGTTTCAGCTAGGATTCACTTTCCACTTCATCTGCAAAGAAGTATGGTTTACAACACAGTCTTCTTTCACAGTTGGAGAAAAAAATCAAATGGCTTCAAACAGCAGCAGCTACCAGATCACAGAATTGCAGAATAATTCAGGTTGGAAGTGACCGCTGGAGGTCTCTAGTCCAATCAACCTCCCTCTCAAAGTGATATCAACTATGAGATCAGACCAGGTTACTCATGACTTTATCAAGTCAGGCACTGGAAATCTCCAAAGATGGAGATGGCAGAACCTCTCTGGGAAACCTGTTCCAATCATGGACAGCCCTCATGGTGAAAAAGTTTTCCCTTATAACCAGCCTGAAACTCTCGTTTCAATTAAAGTCTGTTGTCTCTCACCCTCTTGTCATGCAGCACTGTGAAGAGCCTGTCCTTCTTGATAACTTCCTCATAGACACTGTCAGACTGCTGTTAGGTCTCCCTGAAGCCACCAGAGATTTTTTTTTTTTCCCTCCAGGCTGAACAAGAGCACTGCCCTCAGTTTTTCTTTACACTGCAAATGCTACAGCTTCCTGGCCATACCGGTGGCCCTCTGTCAAATGTGCTCCAATTTATAGATGTCTTACTTTTGCTGGGAACCCAAAACTGGATGCAGTATTCTAGATACCAGGAATCTTTCTCTTAGAGAAAAAAAAGGGGAATTTTTTTTTTTCCCGAAGATCTCCACTTGTTTCCTTCCTTTGAGCATGCCTGTGTACACATACAGTTGCACGTTCACACATACAAATATTCTGGACCTAAATATCTCTTCCCTAATTTTGTATAATAAAATGATATTTCGATTTTTCTGGATTATACTGATGTTAGTGTGTCCTGGTTTCAGCTAGGATAGAGTTAATTTTCTTCCTAGTAGCTGGCATAGTGCTGTGTTTTGGATTTAGTAGGAGAAGAATGTTGATAACACACTGATGTTTTAGTTGTTGCTAAGTACTGCTTATGCTAGTCAAGGACTTTTCAGCTTCCCATGCTCTGCCAGGTGCACAAGAAACTGGGAGGGGGCACAGCCAGAATAGTTGATCCAAACTGACCAAAGGGCTATTCCATACCACATGATGTCATGCTCAGGATATAAACTGGGGGGGTTGGCTGGGGAGCAGCGATTGCTGCTCGGGACCTGTCTGGGTATCGGTCGGCGGGTGGTGAGCAATTGCATTGTGCATCACTTGCTTTGTATATTGTTATTATTATTATCATTATTATATTGTTATTATTATCATTGCTATTTTACTTTATTTCAATTATTAAACTGTCCTTATCTCAACCCAGGAGTGTTTCTCACTCTTACTCCTCCGATTCTCTCCCCCATCCCACCGGGGCAGGGAGAGTGAGCAAGCGGCTGTGTCGTGCTTAGTTGCTGGCTGGGGTTAAACCATGACATAGTGAAAGACTGATCAGTATAAAAATACACATTTTAACATTACTGTTTATACATGTATGCATTCAAATATTATTAATATATGCACACAGTCATTACTTTTATGACCTAACCCCTAAAATGTGGTTGTGCACTTGTACACTTTAACGCTAGCCTCTAGTATTTGGGGTTTTTTTCTTAAATTTGTTTCTCCAAAGTTAAAGGATGATGTAGAAATCTGTTAGAACAAGAAAACAAAGAAGAAAAGTATGAAAAATGCTTTTTCTAAGGCCAAGGAAGACCTAAGAGCAGAAGGAGGAGAAGGCACCAAATGGAGCCAAAATTCCCAAGCCACTGTCATGCTGGCACCACACAGATGACAGAAGGTGGGAGAAGCTGGCAAAGGGATGAGAGAACAGCAGGTGAAGGAAATGTGCACCCTGCATAATAACATGTCTCGTTACAGCTCTACAGGAGTGGAGCATGTGTGGAAGCCTATATTTTGCTCACTGGGGAGCTCTGAAGTCCAAAAGAGAAATAACCCCAGGGAAACAGTCTTGAACAGCAAATTGTCTAGCTAACTCACTTGCATCAAAGCACCAAACTTCCACCTCAGTCCAAAACAGGCTGCCTGAAAAACACTCTCAGTGCTTACTCTAGATTACCATAGCATGGCAAGCAGTAAAAGGAAATAAAAAGACCCAGTAGACTTCTACACAAGCATTCCTTAACTAGCCTCCACATACAAAACAGAGAGTACATTTTCACTCATTTGGGATGGCCTGGGGAATGAACTCTACTTTGTCATTCATGGATTGTCCAGCATTGGACCAGGCTGCCCAGGGAAGTGGTGGAGTCCCCACCCCTGGTGGTATTTAGAAGAGGTGTAGATGTGGTGCTTAGGGACATGACTTAGTGGTGGACTTGGCAGTGCTAGGTTAATGGTTGGACTAGATGATCTTAAAGGTCTTTTCCAACCTAAATGGTTCTAAGATTCTATAATTACTGTGGCCAGCCCACACTTGGCTTGATACAGTCCTCGAAGCTTTATGCACACATGCCATATATTCTTTTCTCCATCTACCTCCTTTGGCATATGTTCAAAGTACTGCCACACTATTGCATGACGGAGGCTGCAAATGTTCATGTAATATATGGGACACTGTAACTGAAGTGTTTAGATGTTTATAAGAATCCTCATAATGGTGCAATTCATTTCTAACCAAGGCAAAAGATAGGCATGAGACCTCAAACATTGCTACTTATGCACTTACAGAAGCCTTTCTTGAATCAGGTGAGGGATGTAAAAGGCAACAATTCCAAGTGGCCTTTGGCTTTCCTAGCTGTGTCTCTGCATGCTTGGACAGTGTCTCTATACAGAGAGGTTGTGGAGTCTCCATCCATGGAGAGAATCAAAACCCATCTGGATGCGGTCCTGGGCAACTGCTCTAGGTGGCCCTGCTTGAGCAGGGGGGTTTGGACAAGATGACCTCCAGAGGTCCCTGCCAACCTCAGTCAATCTGTGCCTCTGTGTGTGCACTTCAGAATGCATTACAAAAAAATGCCATCCTCTAAGAACAATGAGGTAGGAGATAAAATTTTTCATTTTTGATGTTCTGAACTACTACGTAACTTGTGTAACTTAGTAGTGATACAATAGTTCTTGCCCCAGGGGATATTCAGATGGGTATTTCCACACCTTATGACTAAATCTTGCAAAATACCATCATCAAACTTACAATGAAATTCTGCTTGTTCAAATTCAGGGCCATAAGTTAATAACACGGTACATTCTAATGTTGATTTCTGCGAGTCATTATTGTTAACATTTTTGAGATTTAAAGCATTTACATCAGTAAACTGAGGCTGCTGTTTACTACCTTTGTTAAACACTGTATGTTAGTGCAAACTTGACACACTATCACAAAAACATAACTCAAAAGTCAGTGAAAAATCTGCAATGCGCTGAGACCAACACAAGCAAACTGTTAATTTCTGAAATACCAATAGAAAAATTGCATTTCCGTTTTTAAATTATTCTACAAATCCCATTTAAGTGAGTAATAAGGGTGCTATAATAAACTCTTTCTGACTTGGTAAATCATACCATAACTTGTGCACACACTAAATGCTGACCAAATTCATTCAAAGCAATAATCACAAATTGCTTGGGGTTTCTATTCACTATTAACAGGCTTTAAATAAATGCCTATGAGATTCAGGAACAAAAGTTGGTTTTGAAACTTTCCTCCAAGGTTTTAATAAACTTAATGAGAAGGGGAAACTCTAAAAACCTCTAGAAACCTGAGTATTTTTCACTTGTAAAAGCTGAAACACTGAAAACATACACAGTTCTGCCACTGCAAATGCTTTTTAGTCATAACTAACTAGTCCTCTTTATTTCCAATGAACATAATATTCACACTACATTTATTATTTACCTCTGCAGCCCACATCCCTCATCACAGACATTCAGCCTTCAGATTCACAATTTTCTGCTGTGTTGATGCCAATTCTCCTGCCTTTAACCTGCTGGCAGCTCTGTATCCCCTCTCACACAGGAGGTCAGGACGAAATGAGAGCTGTAACCCAACATCACTCCATAAAACAACCTAACTCCTTCACTGGACCACACAGAGCTTCTCCTTAGAGACCAAAACCCACTGATCCATGCAAATGCAGCCCACCTAAATTAATGAGAGAATGGCTATTTCTCCCATCCTACGTACTGCTATAGAACGTAAGGAATTAGAACTTACATATTATGTCAGGGTTGAAAAGAAAACAGTCTTTTAGAATTACAGATTTTATTATTTTAAAATCTATGTTGATTAAGTTAGGTATGTGTAAACAACAGGGAAGAAACAAACACTTATGTCAACTGGTTCTTTGGTCCTCATGTTTTTAAGTGAATGCATCGCTGTAAGACAGCTTTTTCATTTATGTGAGAATCAACTGCCAGCCGCCTTACCCTTCCCTTAGAAAAAACTAATAGAAAATTTAGGCTATAAGAAAAGGACTTCTATTTCAAAGAGATGGTTGGTGAGCAGTAAAGCAGAAATGCAGGCCTTGATTCATTGATGTATTCACATTTCCAGCAAATACCTATTTGATAAGACCATTTCCTCACTCACAGTCACAGTACAGAAAACTTCCCCTATGAGTCACTGATTTATATTAGTATTAATTATTTTACCTGTAATAAACACGCAATGTCTGGATTTCTTCTTCTAATTTTTTGCACTGTTGAAGAGCAGCCTCTTTTTCTTGTTGCAAGGCTATCAAGTCTGCCTGCAAAACAATAAACATAATAAACGATTTATTCAGAATATCCGTATTGCTTTGAAAACATAACAATCCTTCGTGCATTCATTTCAGTCATGCTTTATTATAATTACATAGATAAATTTATACTGTTTTGTAATACCACCTATTTAATTCTTATGAAAAAATCTTTTCTTGTTCTAGCATTGCAATTTTTTCTAGGTTTTTTTTTTCCCAGCAGGATGATGTTTTGAACAGCTTCCCTCGTGTATATGGTAAACTTTTTGAATGGCTAAGGTTAGACCTCTTCAGTTCAGCCAAGTGTTTCTCAGCAAACATATTTCATATTGATATGATATTCCTATAGTGCAAAACTGTTGGCCAACATATAGAGAGTGAAGCAAGGCACTCAGCCACAAACTACCAATGTGCGACTCCTGGTCTGCACATGGCACTCTGGCTGTGAAGCACGGCTCTTGTGCTGGGAGCCACTGGCTGATGTTACTGGCGGGAGAGCTGCCGGATAACCTGCACCCTGAGCGGTGGCAGGCAATGAGCCAGTTGAGGCTGCTGAGACTGGCACCACCAACTCACTCTGGGATCCAGGTCCATTCTCATCCAGGATCTGGTTTATCAGAGGGAATCCCGAAGAAACCACTGTCATCTCCCACCTGTGAACCCTCCCGGATGTTCCCCCTCATATTGTTTGTTCACACCATGCTGTGAAGGGCTTGTGACTTATGGCCATTATGGAAATTGCAGCATGTGGCTTGTAAGGTCAGGAAGGTAGCCAGCCTGGACACAGCCTTACAGTTAAAGAGGAGGTAGGAGAAATAAGTACTCATGTATATTTAATATGGCTCTATACCTTAATCACCATTAATTCTAAAATGTCCACTTTCAATAGCACTGCAGGACCCCCTTGAGGGCCCAGGTACTATATAAATTATCTTAAAATCAGCGGATGATTAATTATTGTAACAACAAATAAGACCCGGCTTGCACAGCAATTCTTTGACACATGAGCCTGAGCATTGGGCTGCTTTCCAATGTTTTTAATTCATGGTGTAAGTTATTAATTGTACAAATTGTAGAGTGCCAAACCGAGAGGCACATGTGTGAGAAACGCTGACTGTGGATTCTGCCAACTCTTCAGGACAGTATTGTGGAAAATTTTCTTGGTAAATTAAAGACCTGTTACATGAGCTACGAACACATGAAGGGAAATGCACAGAGTTCAGCTTCTAGCTCTGCCAGACTCATCGTATAAACATGAACAACTCTGTCTGTATGCCTCCAAATCTCTCTCCTAAAACAGGGCTCCCACTTGCTTCTCTTTCCTGTTTGTCTGTTAAGACTGCAAGTCTTCAAGGCAGGTGTTTTACTGTTTACTGTCAACTCCCAGTCATCTATGGGCAATTTATTCTGCTGGTTGATTAATCATGTCCTGGATACATGGCTGACTCCTGGCAAATTTTATTAAACACCACATTGCACAAATGAAGCTACACAATCACTTTCTGCACTGTGCTGCTCAGTGTGTCACGCTGTACCCAGGATTTTGCATTGCCAGTGCACAGGACCCACTGCTGTAAATGCTCCTGTAACAGACATTCATAAAAATTTAACAGGAAGTTCCCTGGAGAATAAAACCAAACTTTCTTACTATATGGCAGGTTCCTTCAGCTTTAAAAGCAGAAAGCGTTAATGTTTAACCTCTGAGTGACAGTGGTTTAGAGCTTCTGATACTGAAAACAATGTACTGGATGCTGGCAAGCCCTAAGTCCTGTCAGCAAGAGGTTAAAATCCTCTGCAGGTGAGCCTCTTGCCCAGTGCTGCTTGCTGCCTTGCAAGCAGAACTCACAGAACACAAGGATGTTAGCCAAACCAAGCTATTTTCTGTAATTACACTGTTCTGTAGGTGAAACAACATTCTTAAAAATTGGAAAACACGCTTGAATCAAAGTAGGTGGTTTGTTCTAGAGGCCAATAATTAACATCCTTGCCAATTTTCAGTGTACTGTGAAGTGTGATTGAAATGGTAGACTGGAAGGAAATGTTTGCAGCTGACACACCTACTCACAGAAAGATTAACGGCTAGTCTCTTTGGACAACTATCATAAAAAATACACCTTATGTTCCACTTGCTTTTCAGGACAAAAGTCAGAAGGCACTAGAGTCTGAAGACTCTTATTTATGTCAGTTTTTCAGCAGAGAAAACCGCACTGATTTGACTGGGTTTGCACCAGTAAAAATAACAGCAGAATCAGGTGCTCTGGATTTAAAAAAAAAAACTGAGGGGAACAGAAGCAGACATTTGCTAACCTCCTCAGTAGCATGTAGTGGGGCTGATACTAGGGAGCTGCATGAGACCAAGAAAAATTCAAGCACAGGAATTTTTGTGCACAGCATGCAGCCATGCAACAAAACGACCCATCACTCACAGGCCTGAAGAGTGGTAAACACAAATAAATGACTCAAATATCCTCCCAAGAGAGAGATGCCTGCCTTCACTAGAAGAAGGAAAGCAAAACAGTGCCCATCACAAACTTAAATTGCTAGCTAAAATAATGGTGCCTGCACTACTATAAAACATTTGGAAGACTCCTATAATGTATATTGAAATCCATCCATAGCGCACATGGCAAAAATCCTACATGAGCTCACCTCTAGTAATAACAATAGCTGCTCGGGAACTTTTTAACAAAATATTATTCCTTTGGAAATTGTCAAGCTGTGGAAATCAGAACTCTTCACAGAAATGGATCAGTTTTGATTAAATTTTTTTGGAAGGTAGGGTAAAGAAGGAGCAACAAGAAGAAAAAGAATGACACTCAGGTTCCTCTGGTGGAGGTTTTCCCTAAAAAGGTCAATTTAGAGGTGAGGTCAGTCACCACTTTGGTATAGGGGTCACCCTCAGTGAAGTTTCTGTTTAACCCTGAAAGCATATTCTGATCACTGGTATACGGTCTCTTTCTCACAATTCTGTTTTGCCCACAAGTTCCTACGCTTTTATATTTGGTTTAACATGGATAGATCCTTCCCCTTTCTCTGTCCCCCACCCCACTTTCCTGCAAAAGAGAATTCTTGTTTCTACATGTCTCCCATTTTGCATTTTGGCAAACAGTTACTTGTTGAAAATTTAAATTTTCCAATTAAATCTAAAAGCTAATTGCTACATATCAAACAGAAAATAGCTAAATCTTGACTAAGAAAATCTTATTACTGATCCTCTTGCTGTTGTTTTTGTTTCAAAATATTTAAATGAACAATGCTATGTGTTTTCTTAACGCAAAGGCTGGAAAAATACAAGACTTAAGCAAAGCAAAACAGAGTGTAAAACTAGTTTTTATCTTTTACTAATTCCTCTAGGGCAACCATGAGCACCCTCAACTCTAATCTGAATCAAAGAGGTAGGAACACACAGCATCCTATGTTGTCCAGTTCCCTGTGGGTGAGAGATGGCTTTTATAATGCTTTTCAACATCCAACAGAAGGAAAAAAACCATTCAATGAACTTGAGTAATAAAGCTTCATAGCTTTATCTTTTTACTGATTTTTTTTCTCATGCATTTATAGAGAGCATATATATTTCCACCTATATATATATTTATAGAGAGCATGTATTTTTCCTTCTTTACATAGGCTAAACAAACACAACCTACTCTGTTACCTCTCAGTAAGTAGGCTCTCCATTCTCCTCATCAATCCAAACCGATCTCTCACCAGTACTCTGCTAGCAGTACATCCTAACTCCAGTGGAAACATCTTACCTGATACCTTCTTGCATCCCTTTTGCTCACAGTCACCCTCTGATATCTGTCTGTTCTCCTGCCCACTGGTATTACCCAGCTAACAGTGGAAATTCTTATTCATCCTGAAATGATGATACTTTGCACTTGGTAGCATTGAGTTCCACCCCACTGCTTTTATTTTTCCAGTACTTGAGGCCATTCCAATCTTTCTGCAAGATAGCTTGAACTTACTTTGTATTAATAATATCTCCATTTTGTATTAATAACATCTCCCAGCTCTGCGTCATCAAGCAGTTTCGTTGGTACACTGTTGCTCTTCATGCAAAAGGTTCTCAATGACAGTATTAAAGAAAACTGGTTCAGCACCAATTGGTGAGAAATTGGAAAGAAATTCCACTAGTGAAATCCTTGGACCTTTACGTTTCTCCTTTCAAAGCTGTTTGCTGTTGCCTTCCTGCTAACTAGTTCCTTATTGCCTTTGACTAATCCTTCATCTCCTTCATGGGTACATGACATTTTGCAGACAGACATGAGCTCAACATGCCCATCCTTCCAAACAAGAGATGCTAGGTGAACCCAGTTAACAGCAAGCAGCATTTCCCACATTAAGCTTGTGCCTGCTTGTAAAATAACAATATACACATTCTCCACTGTAATTAATAATTTTCCATATGGCACCACATATAAGCTTATGTGTCAGCTTATATTTAACAAGTTTCCTTGTCTAAATAACCAGTTATCATACCAAGGAAGAATTCTTGCATGATCTTACTTGGGTGAAAGTTGTACTTCAATCCACTGTTGATAGATCCATGCTTCAAAAACATTTTCCTTCCAGATTTACCCTGAAGCCTCACAATAAAGACTAACTGGTCTACAACTGTCAGAATTACGTTTTTTGCCTTTCTAAATACAGATGCTGCCTCTGCTAATTCCCTGTCCTATTACACTGTACACAGCCTCATAGGTTTTGTTAAAGAACCTTACTATCATTACTGCAATTTCAGGTACCAGCACTTTCAGAATTGGGGACAGAAACCATCCATTATCCCAGTCTGAGCACAATAATCAATTGAACAGCTATGATGTACTCCATTTGCATACATTCACTTTTCTTAACCCCTGTCCTCATAGTTGACATCATCATTGCCCAATGCTGAGAGAAAAAAAAATAAAATCACACACTTTCGGACCTAATCCGGATTATCCTTGATCTCCATGCCATTCTCAGAGTGGTGGCACGTTTCCTCTTTCCTTGTTCTCATTTCAGTC